AAGATGGGTTACACATTCCAAACATATGCGCACACTAACGACTTGTATGGACAGTTCCAAATAATATATAAAGAGAAGGTAGAACGGAACTTCATTTCACACTCCTTCCCTTTATTTATTACGAATTTACTCATCGTTGAATAATTTCCGTGTTATTTCGCTTAATCGTCTTAATCACTTCAAAAAATATTGGTTTCATTTTAATTATTGGTCTATTCCCATTAGATAACACTTTATTAGTTTGACATTCTGAATAATTTACACTCCTTTCGGACGTATTTACAATTTGTGTACTACACTATGTATTAGATAGTCCATTTTGTTACCATTTTTTACTTCAGCTGCTATCATAATTATAAAAAGTACCTTTACTATCACAATTATTATTACTATTACACACTGATTTTCAAATATTCATCTTTCCAAATAATTTATTCTTTCTCCCTCCTAATGATTTTTCACTTTCTTGTACTTTTCATCGTCAAACTAAATTTCCCTACCCTATTATTGTTCCATCTTACTTGTGCAACTGGAAAAAGCCTCTGTGACCGATTTTCTAATTCCCTCATTTACATTGATCTTTGTTCCATATCAGGATGTAATTGGATGACCATACAGGGCGCCTTCTGTTCCAAAACTGTACCTGAAAACTTAAAGGTGACTTTAAGGACTACCCTAGCAATAAATAGAATAACCAATTACAATTCTCTATTTTATGAAAATCTAACTATCCAGCGGGAATTAAGAAGCCTATTTGGTCATTTTGATTGTTGCTTGTGTTGTCTTTAAAGTCACCCAGCTGCTGAGATAACCAGTTGCCTCCCTTCATTTTGTGAAAAACTAACTTTCTAACCGGAATACCGTTAGTTGGTTAGTTATTTTGGCAGTGGCTAGTGTGGCCTTTAAAGTCACTCAAACTTAAAGTCAGATGCATACTGTTGGGGGGATCTTCTTAGCAAGATCGAAACGTTTAACAATAGTATCAAATGTTTATTTACATTGTTATTTCTCCCAATACACTCTGTCGGGATTATACAAACAAAATACACTTTATCCGACAAATGGCCATAAATATTACATCATTGACTAATTTAAAGCTAGACGCATAACATGTAGAGTTCACACTGTAAGTTGGTCTAAGAGAGAATAAGTGTTTCTCTTCTCTCATTTCCTTTTCATTGACTATGCACTTATATATACAGCCTTCTTTCTAAAAGCACAACACAGTAAATATACCAGTCGGATGGTAATCAGTTAGCGAGTAATATAAATCATAGAAATGAAAAAAAGCAACAAAATATTAAAACACTTGTATAGATAAATTGTGAAAGTTGAAAACAAGTTGTCACATAATTAAAATCCTGCACACTATAAAATCGGGAGAAGAATAAGTGGCTTTGTAAAATGTTCATTCGTGCAGAATCGTTAATCGCATAAGAACAATTAGAAGGGAAGAGGATAAATTGTCACAAATAACCGTTTATAGGCTTACACATGTTAGGATACATTGCATGAATGACCAAAGTGGAAAGCAATGGGCTACATGAGCCTCTTTTACATATTTACGTCGAGCCTATTTGGATCCATTGTGATTATTTCTGCCTTATGCATAGGGTGAATTTATGAAGCATAAATAAGACTGTAATCATTACGACGAGTGACTTTAAACACCGTGGTAATATCGAAATGCTGTTCAGGTGTCCAGAGTCAACAAGATGTGCAAACACTAAGTTTTTTGTCAGTCCCTTCTTCCGTTTATTCGACAGTGGAAGATGATTTTCAGGAAATTAAAAGATGAATTTACTAAATTCTCCCCCCGTGCAACTAGCTTCTTAGGAGCAATCAAACTAGTAAATACACACATAGAAATTGTGAAATAATTTCTTTTTTTTTATGAACTCAAAAGTGATATAATGAAAAACAGGCGGCGTAATATTGTTGTACTAAATATCGTTTTTACAGATCCCTGGTTTTCGGACATAATATCTTGAAAATAAATTAAAGAACAATGGTTTCTTTGAAACCATGAATACTCTGATTTTCGTGTTTGCTAGAGTTGTATTTCTCAGCAGCGATTCAGTAGAATGTTCATGGTTACTAACTGGATCACGTATATGATTCGTCTCTTCATCAATACTGCCATCTTAGCTCCATTAGTTAAGTTTCTTGAAAGGCTTTTTTGGTAGGGAAGATACATAAAACTCACAAAATTAGTAGACTGCCTAGTTGACAATGACATCCGATTATTCTATATACTCATTACAGGACTTTACTTGCTTAAAATCTGATAACATTTTATGTCTTTCTTGTTAATAAAAAATAGTAGGTTACCGTTTGGTGGCTAGATAAACCAATAGTTATCCAAAGTTAAAACTAGGCTTTACATTTTAGCTCATTGTCAGTCCAGTTGACAAACCATATTGCATTCTAAACAACTACTGCTTGTACTATATATTACTTACAAAAGTAATGAGTAGAACGTTAAACGTCAGGAAGGTTTCCATGAGTAACAAACATGTTGGATATTTTTTTACCACTTAGATGATTGTCACTTTTGCTTTGAAGTTTATTTAGTGATTATTAGGTCGACATTTTCATATTCACTAATCTTAAAATTTAGTCAACAGACAAGTGTAATGTTAATCACTGCTTTATACTATCACTAAATTAAATATCTCATGATGGTCATTTACGTTAATTCATATTTTTTCAAAAGATACAAGTCAATTTTAAAGGTTTAAAATTAGCGTATTAGTTATTCACTAGTCAATAGAAATTCAAACAAATAGACAACGTTTTGAGACTTCCTCTTTAAAAATGAGTTACTTAGAAAATAAATTTATGTTTCAAGATGAACAGAATGAAAACTAATGTGGGACAACCAATAATGAAAAACAGGTGTTATCTTACTTTGCGGAACTGTGATAGGCTGGTAGTACGCGGAAGGCGATGCCTTTTAATCAAATCTTGAGTGTAAACTGTATCTTTCAGTAGTTTTGAAAATCTAATCCGCAACTCAAATGGTCATAAATCTCGGCTAGCTTTGTTTGATGGTAAATGGAGATAATGGTCAAAAACTTCATACGTGTTGGTAATTACCAGTAAAGTGGACGTGCAGACGTGAGAGATAACCCCTTCAATAGAATAACTCTAATTAAGTTTGGCACTTCATCGAGTTCTTTACAACCTTAGAGTCTTACACGTGTTATTTTTGCAGGCGGTGAGTTCTTTTACACAGGTCTTGCTAGTGAGCACTGGCAAGCATGATGCAAAGCCTACTAGCCACATCATACTGACTAAAACCATTTATTAAGTACCGAATTTTTAGTTGATTCAAGTATCAAGTAGTAATGGAAGTAACATTAGTCTTCTTCACGAGCTAGAAAGGTAAGATGAATATATGTTGTATGCTGTAAAATTTCAATAAATCTCAAAGTTCCTATGATGAACATGTAAACTAGTTTTCATCAAGATTTTCCATGATTAATCTGTGAAACTAAGTTCAAGAAATAAAAGCTATCTGAGTTGAACAGTGGTAGAAAATTTTTCAAAACTGAAAATACTACTACATGGAATTTCGGATTTAACGTAATTAGAACACGGCAAACACGTATATAGGTCGACTGCTGAAAAGCGAAAGAATCTGGATATGATTATGCGTTTATGACAGGGTTTAAAATCATTTCTACCCGACGGACAACTTTGAATTTTTAATGATAGTTTTAAAAGTGAGTTCGTTGACTTTAAAGACTGAATGGAGATTACAGATTGAGTTAGTAAATGTTCATTAAGTCGATTAAGTTCTTCTGTATTTTAAACGACGTGGAGAACATCTTTAAGTGGTTGTTAAGCTACTTTCCACCATTAGCAAATTTGTGAACATCATAAGATTTCTGCTGGATTTTTAAAGTGTTTTGAGAAAATTTTTAGCTTTGAACAAATGTATTAACATCCCACTGACATATGTAGTTACGAACCAATAACATCAAGCGGAAGTGTTTACTAGTCAAAAAACCAAATTAGAAATCTCAAATAGTATTAACTCGAAAAAATCATGACCACTCTGAGATACGAAACTTATAGACACTGGCTACGAATCTATTTCCAGTCCATCGTAGTAACTAGTCATGGATAATGCAGTTTATTTGATAGCCAGTAGTGGAATCCAGGACATGCGTTATGTCTCATTTAAGACTAGTCAGCTGGATGCATCTGCACCCCAGTGAGTGTTTTCCCCACTGAGACTCGAACCTAATATCTATCCCTTCAAATGCCAATGCGTTATCCACTAAGACATTGTCCTGGTCCAAAATACGAAGAAACGAGCATCCTGCATTCTGCTGCTAGCCACCAAATATACAGCAATATAATCAATACCTATGCAGTATCGAGACATCTGTACAGGAGCCTATCTGTCATCCGAGGATGAACAATTCGACCCCGTATAGTAACGGGAAATTACAAGTATCGGTAGTAGTGAATAAATTAATTCAAATGGTAGGAATGGGTATACAACTGATGAACTCATTGGTCGGTGTCAAGTGTTCCAAAAATGTACTCAACATATGCGAATAATGCCCAAGCAATTTTACTATTACTTCCTTCGCATTTCCTTCAAAATATTACCTCATAAGTGATGTCTACTGACAGAAGATTTACAAGTTGCATTTTATCAATGCGAATATAATGAATTCTAGTTTCTATTTCACTTGCACTAAATAAAAAATATCATTTTTTTCTACAAAAACTATGTACAACAGTTCAACTTTTGGTTTGGATATTTATTTTCTTTACAGACACAAAATGGAGGGAAATCAGTGAATTCCAAAAGCCTACCAACTAAACACTATCGTACTCGTGATTCAGTATTAACCACACTGTTTCAAATCTCTCATATACGTACTGTCTATAATATATTTATCGCTGTAACAATTATTTTCTCTGTGAATACAGTGATACAAGATTTCATTGATCCAAAAGTTAATTTATACGCTTACAATATGGATATCTTGAGGTTCGCATTTGGTAATTTAAGTGATGTTTTCCGCATCTGGGCTGCAATGAAACTGTCTGCCATTTTTATACCATTTTGGGGAGTTCTTCTATGGATAACGTACAGACCGAATATTGGGAGTAAAATATGTCCATTGGATTGGCTTTTCCTTATGGGCTACATAATCTACCAGGTGAGTGAATGATCCATTCTGTAAATTCTACGAACTGACTGGTGTATTTAAGTATTCTGTCTTTTAACTTATTTTTATTTCAGCCGTGGAATCTGCTTAAGATTCATTACAGATTAATAGTTGGTGCATAAATGTTAATAAATATGAATTAATGCTGGGTGATGTTTGAAGATGAAATGAAAACTCTGGGTCGCGACAGAATTCATACTAGAGACCGTCTAGTTTCTGGTTCCGTGTTCTGCTAACTGAGCTACAAGACTCGAATGTTGACTAAATTTTTATTTTACTTCAATCATTAGGAATTTTTCCTGACTTCTATGTGAATTCGTGACGCATAACCTCTCTAGATTACACTCATACTGACTACCCGGACAGGACTACTCATTTCAATCCGAATCTACTTGAATTAGAGAGGGGAAGCTTCTCCTCTATCCTATTAATTAAATGAAACATGAAAAGTAAACACAAAATAAAACTAACTACTCATTGGTAAGTTTCAGTAGTATGTAGTCCGTTCCTTTCATGAAAAAGATGCTGTTAACTACCTAGATATAAGCATGAACTGATCAAGGGTTTTAGGGACGGTGGGCACTTTCTATAATGGAATTTTTGTGCTAATAAACCACCAATATTTAAGGCCGCATCTACTCTGTAATTATTTTTGTTATGAAATAGGATGTGGTATTTAGACAATTTTTATTCACTGTTTTATGATTGCCTCGTCTAACGGACGTATATTAAGAAAAAAAATTCATTGGCGTCCTGTAGATATTATCTGGGTGCTTGTTCAACCAATTTTTACTACTGGAACTGGTTCTGGAAAAAATTAAATTGCTAGTGGTTTAAAACGGTGATTTCCAACAGCATTAAATTTTATCAACTTACTAAAGCTCTGAAAATCAACTTCGAAAATCATGAACGAATGCATATCTTGATGTATCAAAAAGATGCACAAAAGAAGATTTCCAGTGATTCAATTTAATAAACAGTTTGGTTAACATTCGTAAGCAATAGAGTATTTAGGCTCAGCCGCATCTCATAGCAGCAAGTAAATCACACAACGAATCTACCTACAATATTCAGAATGCCGATAAATTATATATATATATATATATATATATATATATATATATATATATATATATATATATATATATATATATATATATATATATATAGGGCCATCATATGATTTTCAAACCGTATATTTACATTAAAGTAGATGGTAATCGATTATCAATTGATTGTATAAACAAACGCAGTTTAGAACCATGTGACGTAATTTGAATGCATCATCTAAGAGTGCAATATGCAGAATACATCGAAAGTGTCTGATAATTGACGTACATTGTTAAAATTCTCATTAACTGATGAGTAGTAATATTATTTTTCTGTAAAGAATGAATTCAGATTTCTAAGCACAGAAAGAACACCTAAAGAAAATTATGATCATAAACATAACCCATAAATCCAAAAAGGACATGACCTATTAGACTTTCACCACTACCCTGTTTTTAGTTGATGGCATTAGAATATCATTATCGTACTATTTCCGTGTGGATTCACTCGTGTACATTCCTTTCCTTGAAATAAAAAAGAGTTTATTTGATTAGATTTCACTAACTTTATTTCTTGGGATTTAATGTAAAAAGTGAATCAAAATAACCCTACCTTTCAAGTAAGCGAATCGATTCCTCATACTTCTGTTCTCAGGATATATGCAAATAGTGAGGGACCTTGTGAAATAAAATAAGTTTACGTAGCTTAACAAGTTCCCGCCTCAGTTATGCTGTTCAAATAGTTCAGAATTACAAAAAATCTTCATTGCTCAAACTTGTTACCAACCTGAAAAACTAAAATGTGGTGAAGGATGATGAGTGACAATTTGAAAATAGTCAGTTAATTGCCATTTGAGTGCTAATCCACTTTAAACCTTTAACTGTAGCCAACCACTTTCTCCCCTTTTCGAATTTACCTTGGTATAGGCTGTAACAAAAATGCCTGACTGGGCAGGTAGTGTAAAAGTTATCAGATATTTGCCTATCGATCACTCATATGACAACGCGGGTACACTTCTTCAACTGAATAAGGAGGAGACCTGGTTAGTATTTAGGTCTAGTATCTCAGTGATAAGAGTGCCAAGTCAGTTACTTGGAGGCTACTGGTTCGAGTCCTTTCCAGACACACGTTCACATTTCAACTTTTATTAATTAAGACCAGTCTTGAAAACTAGATTTATGTAAACTAGTATAATCAATGACACATTTAAGTTTTAATCTGGTCATCATGATCAAGTTTAATGTATTCAAATCCATACTGTGTAGTTTACAGTTATAAGTTTATTTTTCAGTAGGTATCAAATTTCGGATTTCTAATATCTATCATCAAACAAAAGCAGAGTAAACACTTGGTACTTTATAGGTTTTCTTCTAACCGTGAGGACAAAGAAATAAAAGTCTTATATGTTGATGATGGCTGATGTAAGCTGGCCATTCTTTAACTGTGATAACAGTTGTAATGCACCAGATTATGCCAAACGTAACTTTAATTTGTAAGCGGGAGCTTGATTATGCTATAAACATCCTATGAATATGCTTAAGTGATATTTAAAAAGCTTGATCTTCAGAAATGAGTATGCTTCCATTTCTATTTCAACCACGTTAGTTAACAGATAGTTTTGATTCCTTTTATTATAAGGTGTTTAAACTGTGTGACAAAATGGACAAAAAACAATTTTGATACTACAATTCATACTTCGCACGCGGCGTAACTTTTTTTTGATGTTTTATTCTTAGGTTGGTAAACTGCAGTTGGAAAACGTCTTTAAAACATGCGATGGTACATGTTACGTTTAGAAAACATCTGAAAAATTCAAACAAATTGAAAGGGAAGTATTTGACGAAATATATTTAGTGGAAAATGTTTTGGTAGCCTAAGGTCTATGCAGGCCACCTGTAAAATATTTCAAAACACTAAGCCATGGAAATTTTTCACATGGCTACGTCTACAGCTTCAGTTCTATCACTTTTCTGAAAGTTAGGAATGATACTACAGACAGTCAAGAGTATGATGATGAAATATTTGTATTCTGTATAAGTGTCTGAATTGTATTATCTCTGACAGCAGCCTGAGAATTGTGCATAGATCGACCACATACAAGTCAAAGTGAACGGTTGACAAACCCTCCTTCCTACTTTTATCTTGAAAAAGTATTTTCCACAAGCAAGCACGTCTTGTACCATTGATACGTTTGATGCCTCATTTACTGAATTTATGCTTTCCACGGTTCAGTTCATTGGTATGAGTGGAAGGAAGCATAGCATATAATATAAGCTTACTCATATACTTCATCCTTAATATATACTACAATGAAATTTACTGCGTCCCATGCAATGAGATAAAAACGCAAAGCAGTCTTGATCAGGTAATAACTATTGGTACTTGAATTGAACAATGTTAAGTGGTACTATTAGCGAACATATCGCAGACTTACACTTGGGTATAGAACCACTGAAAATAAACCATATAAACTAAGGTGTCTGACTACACTTTTCATTCCCACTACATAATAGACAGTAAAGTAGTGGTGTGAAAAGTCGAATGTCTCTACAATGTGGACAGAAATGTACTGGATGATGCTCACAGTGAGACATAAGGGTCTCCTGTCTTTAAAACAGAGCAATGCTTCACAGAGTGGTAGACTTCCACTACAGAATAGCTATCCCATCTGTATTATTGCTTGTAGTCTTTGGGATATTCTTTCAAGAAACAATTTGCTAATAGTCTGAAAGACAGCTAAGGATCGGCTACCCCAAAGTTGTTTATCTTTCTTAGTGAACCTAACTACTATCAAGAAGCTCCAAATGTGTACAGACAAAATCTAGGTGATATCTGGATATTTTTCTGTAGATAAAAGTTGCATTCTTTATGAAACTATCCCTAAGTTGGTCCTCCGATGAAAATTTTGAGAGTTTCTGCGGCATTGAATATTATTACCACCAGGTCACTGTTTTATGTATATTCAGAATAATATTTTGGCCATCTAGTTTCATTCATAAATGATTTTAGGCAAAAGATTCCTTTATTCCGTGTTTGCAGTTGATATGCATCCAAGGCTCTCATGCAGTGGGAACCAATCTCCTCCTGAATCAGGATCATGACAGCAAGATTCAAATTAAATGGAAGCAAAGTTACAATCATACAATGCTACACTGTCCACCTACAAATAAGGCAGATGAAGAGAAGAGGAGGAATTCTATAGACAACTGCGATCAGTACTAGACAAGACCCCACCCCAGTTGGTGATATCAAAATTCTAATTGGTGGGGTGACATGAATGCCAAACTGGGAGCGAACAACACAGGAAGAGAACTAACCATGGGTCGAGAAGCGCTCGGTGAGGTGATGAACGAGAATGGGGAACTGTTTGCAGACTTCTGCGCATTTAATGGATTGGTGATTGGAGGCGAGGCAGTGTGTACAAACACAGGGATATTCACAAGGCGGCAACATGGATTTCACCAGACACCAGGACAAACTAACAATCAGATCAACTTCATCTCAATGTGAAGAAAGTGAAGATAGAGAAGCAGCCTACTGGACACAAGATCAGATCATGAAGAGGAGCAGATGTGGGTAGGTTCAAACCACTCAATATCTAGTGCAAGGAACCTGCCTTCAAAATCAAGTTGAAAGCCAAAACCAAAGAAGCTGGTAAAGACCACAGTTTAAGTGGAAGAACACTGGAACTCTTTGAAAGAGATGTGGAAGGAAACTTGCACAACCGTGTTAGGAAGGAAGAAGAAGACGTGAGACAAGGAATGGATCTTGACGGATACACGGAAGGTGATAGAGCAGGGAGAGGGGGATGGTGAAGCATAAGATGAAGATGAACCAGTGCACTGCAGGGATGGACAACGAGAATAGGGAGTGAACACAACCTATAAAACACTACACTGGACAAAGAAGTGAAGAAGAGTGCACAGAAAATCAAAAGACAT